GTTTCTCCAATCTTCCCAAATTCTGATAGAGGGCCATGAGACTTAGACCTGAGTGCAAAAATGGAGGCTCTAGCCCCTTCCAGAGCTGAGATATCGAAACTCAAAAATTCGGCCCGAAAAAAAAACGACAGTGGTACCCCTTACGTTTTTTTTTTGGGCGAAAAATTAAGTTTCTCCAATCTTCCCAAATTCTGATAGAGGGCCATGAGACTTAGACCTGAGTGCAAAAATGGAGGCTCTAGCCCCTTCCAGAGCTGAGATATCGAAACTCAAAAATTCGGCCCGAAAAAAAAACGACAGTGGTACCCCTTACGTTTTTTTTTTGGGCGAAAAATTAAGTTTCTCCAATCTTCCCAAATTCTGATAGAGGGCCATGAGACTTAGACCTGAGTGCAAAAATGGAGGCTCTAGCCCCTTCCAGAGCTGAGATATCGAAACTCAAAAATTCGGCCCGAAAAAAAAACGACAGTGGTACCCCTTACGTTTTTTTTTTTGGGCGAAAAATTAAGTTTCTCCAATCTTCCCAAATTCTGATAGAGGGCCATGAGACTTAGACCTGAGTGCAAAAATGGAGGCTCTAGCCCCTTCCAGAGCTGAGATATCGAAACTCAAAAATTCGGCCCGAAAAAAAAAACGACAGTGGTACCCCTTACGTTTTTTTTTTTGGGCGAAAAATTAAGTTTCTCCAATCTTCCCAAATTCTGATAGAGGGCCATGAGACTTAGACCTGAGTGCAAAAATGGAGGCTCTAGCCCCTTCCAGAGCTGAGATATCGAAACTCAAAAATTCGGCCCGAAAAAAAAACGACAGTGGTACCCCTTACGTTTTTTTTTTGGGCGAAAAATTAAGTTTCTCCAATCTTCCCAAATTCTGATAGAGGGCCATGAGACTTAGACCTGAGTGCAAAAATGGAGGCTCTAGCCCCTTCCAGAGCTGAGATATCGAAACTCAAAAATTCGGCCCGAAAAAAAAAACGACAGTGGTACCCCTTACGTTTTTTTTTTTGGGCGAAAAATTAAGTTTCTCCAATCTTCCCAAATTCTGATAGAGGGCCATGAGACTTAGACCTGAGTGCAAAAATGGAGGCTCTAGCCCCTTCCAGAGCTGAGATATCGAAACTCAAAAATTCGGCCCGAAAAAAAAAACGACAGTGGTACCCCTTACGTTTTTTTTTTGGGCGAAAAATTAAGTTTCTCCAATCTTCCCAAATTCTGATAGAGGGCCATGAGACTTAGACCTGAGTGCAAAAATGGAGGCTCTAGCCCCTTCCAGAGCTGAGATATCGAAACTCAAAAATTCGGCCCGAAAAAAAAACGACAGTGGTACCCCTTACGTTTTTTTTTGGGCGAAAAATTAAGTTTCTCCAATCTTCCCAAATTCTGATAGAGGGCCATGAGACTTAGACCTGAGTGCAAAAATGGAGGCTCTAGCCCCTTCCAGAGCTGAGATATCGAAACTCAAAAATTCGGCCCGAAAAAAAAAACGACAGTGGTACCCCTTACGTTTTTTTTTTGGGCGAAAAATTAAGTTTCTCCAATCTTCCCAAATTCTGATAGAGGGCCATGAGACTTAGACCTGAGTGCAAAAATGGAGGCTCTAGCCCCTTCCAGAGCTGAGATATCGAAACTCAAAAATTCGGCCCGAAAAAAAAACGACAGTGGTACCCCTTACGTTTTTTTTTTTGGGCGAAAAATTAAGTTTCTCCAATCTTCCCAAATTCTGATAGAGGGCCATGAGACTTAGACCTGAGTGCAAAAATGGAGGCTCTAGCCCCTTCCAGAGCTGAGATATCGAAACTCAAAAATTCGGCCCGAAAAAAAAAACGACAGTGGTACCCCTTACGTTTTTTTTTTTTGGGCGAAAAATTAAGTTTCTCCAATCTTCCCAAATTCTGATAGAGGGCCATGAGACTTAGACCTGAGTGCAAAAATGGAGGCTCTAGCCCCTTCCAGAGCTGAGATATCGAAACTCAAAAATTCGGCCCGAAAAAAAAAACGACAGTGGTACCCCTTACGTTTTTTTTTTGGGCGAAAAATTAAGTTTCTCCAATCTTCCCAAATTCTGATAGAGGGCCATGAGACTTAGACCTGAGTGCAAAAATGGAGGCTCTAGCCCCTTCCAGAGCTGAGATATCGAAACTCAAAAATTCGGCCCGAAAAAAAAACGACAGTGGTACCCCTTACGTTTTTTTTTTGGGCGAAAAATTAAGTTTCTCCAATCTTCCCAAATTCTGATAGAGGGCCATGAGACTTAGACCTGAGTGCAAAAATGGAGGCTCTAGCCCCTTCCAGAGCTGAGATATCGAAACTCAAAAATTCGGCCCGAAAAAAAAACGACAGTGGTACCCCTTACGTTTTTTTTTTTTGGGCGAAAAATTAAGTTTCTCCAATCTTCCCAAATTCTGATAGAGGGCCATGAGACTTAGACCTGAGTGCAAAAATGGAGGCTCTAGCCCCTTCCAGAGCTGAGATATCGAAACTCAAAAATTCGGCCCGAAAAAAAAACGACAGTGGTACCCCTTACGTTTTTTTTTTGGGCGAAAAATTAAGTTTCTCCAATCTTCCCAAATTCTGATAGAGGGCCATGAGACTTAGACCTGAGTGCAAAAATGGAGGCTCTAGCCCCTTCCAGAGCTGAGATATCGAAACTCAAAAATTCGGCCCGAAAAAAAAACGACAGTGGTACCCCTTACGTTTTTTTTTTGGGCGAAAAATTAAGTTTCTCCAATCTTCCCAAATTCTGATAGAGGGCCATGAGACTTAGACCTGAGTGCAAAAATGGAGGCTCTAGCCCCTTCCAGAGCTGAGATATCGAAACTCAAAAATTCGGCCCGAAAAAAAAACGACAGTGGTACCCCTTACGTTTTTTTTTTTGGGCGAAAAATTAAGTTTCTCCAATCTTCCCAAATTCTGATAGAGGGCCATGAGACTTAGACCTGAGTGCAAAAATGGAGGCTCTAGCCCCTTCCAGAGCTGAGATATCGAAACTCAAAAATTCGGCCCGAAAAAAAAACGACAGTGGTACCCCTTACGTTTTTTTTTGGGCGAAAAATTAAGTTTCTCCAATCTTCCCAAATTCTGATAGAGGGCCATGAGACTTAGACCTGAGTGCAAAAATGGAGGCTCTAGCCCCTTCCAGAGCTGAGATATCGAAACTCAAAAATTCGGCCCGAAAAAAAAACGACAGTGGTACCCCTTACGTTTTTTTTTTTGGGCGAAAAATTAAGTTTCTCCAATCTTCCCAAATTCTGATAGAGGGCCATGAGACTTAGACCTGAGTGCAAAAATGGAGGCTCTAGCCCCTTCCAGAGCTGAGATATCGAAACTCAAAAATTCGGCCCGAAAAAAAAACGACAGTGGTACCCCTTACGTTTTTTTTTTGGGCGAAAAATTAAGTTTCTCCAATCTTCCCAAATTCTGATAGAGGGCCATGAGACTTAGACCTGAGTGCAAAAATGGAGGCTCTAGCCCCTTCCAGAGCTGAGATATCGAAACTCAAAAATTCGGCCCGAAAAAAAAACGACAGTGGTACCCCTTACGTTTTTTTTTTGGGCGAAAAATTAAGTTTCTCCAATCTTCCCAAATTCTGATAGAGGGCCATGAGACTTAGACCTGAGTGCAAAAATGGAGGCTCTAGCCCCTTCCAGAGCTGAGATATCGAAACTCAAAAATTCGGCCCGAAAAAAAAACGACAGTGGTACCCCTTACGTTTTTTTTTTGGGCGAAAAATTACGGGGTACGTACCCCTGTCGACTTTTTCGGTGCAAAAAAAAAGTTTCTCTGATCTTCTTGTATCATGCAAGGGGGCTGACATGTGATGTCCATTGTAATGGACACAGGGTCTGAATGGGTTAACTCACCTTTGATCACTAACGTTACACACACAGGCATTATCCCATTCGGCTCCTCCCGACCGCAGACATAGGTTTGCAAGCCGTTTTTCAAGAAATCAATTTCTTGCATTTTCCCCCCTTATGAACAACAACTTTTGGTACACGATAAAAAACTCCTTGTGGTTTGATCGATTCAAGTAACCATAAATGACTCAAAACATAGGGATGTATGATAGGGATGTATGGATGGATTAATGTATGTACTGTAAGAAGGGATGATGTACTGTATGTCTAGATCTATGTAGTTTGATAGACTGGTAGGTACAGTATGGATGTATGTAGATGGTAGGGATGGATTGATCTGCATGTAAGTATGTATTCATGTATGAAGGAAGGTAGGTATGGATGAATGTATAGATGTATGAAGGACAAGATAGATATTGATGGATTAATAGATGTATGTGGGTAGGGTAGATGTGGATGTATAGGTATGTTTGTGTGTTGGCATATACTGTATATTTGTATGAAACTCAGAAGCAAAGACCAGTAGACTCTGGCGTATCTTCAGGAGTCTTTATTGAAAATGTGCAGTTTGGTCATTCAGTCTTACACTGAATGTGATGGGCATTCAGTGTTGAACTTACACACAGCTAGGAGTGACAACCTAGCCACAGTATCTGAAGATAATACAGGAAATGACCCGTCTGTGAGCACTAAAGATAATAGTACCTCCAAACGGTTGAAGCAGCAGCTGGTCACAAGAACCAGACATGTAAACCAGATACCATCATGTTCCCCTTCAATGCCAGATACTATGTAGTTCACCTTTGTTTTTTATGTGATGTTTTGTCAGGACAAAGGTGTGGTGACATCATCAGATCCTCAATATCACTGATCAAATGGGATCCTTTTGGGATCCCAACATATAACTTTTAATAGATCTTTTTAGAGCCTGATTCCTAACTAAAAAAAGAGATTCTTAAGTTTGAAGTCATACAGTGTGCTTGTGTACTCACCGAAACTCAACTTTGTATCCGAATATGTTCCCAGATATTTCAACAATCCCAACAGCCTGGTCATTACTTCCCCAACATGTGGTATTCACAAATCAGTTATTTAGTTTTCCTTGCACTCAAATGACGTCTAGTGAAGAACGATATGCCAGAAATCTGTCGTCATCTGATGGATCTTTATTTTAGCAATGCAATACATTGAAACACTGAGTCCAGATACAGATCCAGATTCCCCTCAACACAAACAACAGTTCAAAATGAGATGGGAACAAAAGCATTAACGGGGAACACTGATGATGAAAAACATTATTTAAAAAAAATGAGACGGTAGCCTGAATTTTATGACTACTTTCATCACATATTTCTTAAAATGTAAACAAAACACTGGTAACAAAATCTCTCTTCATAATAATATCAGAAAAGTCTATCACGTGACCTTCTCTGGACTGTTTATCTGAGCTGAATTAGCTAATACATGTATAGTTGCTCATCTAGACATTTTCACTGAAAAGGTTTGGTGCAATAAGGCCTGCATTTGTTTTACTTTGTTACAGTAAAGGTTCTTACTGGCCATTTAAAAACAACAAAAAAACAGTCAATGCTAGACACGTTTTATTAAATCAGTCAGTTCCTCTAGGTCTCAATAGAGATCATCCATATTGCAGTCATGCAACTTCTACTGTAACTAGGGATGCACAATATATCAGACCATATTATTGTACAATTATTGTACCAATTTGAAATCTTTCCCACATGTATATGCCTAATTTCAGGCATTTATTTAAATAAATGTTCATGTTTGTGTTTCATAACTGACAGCCAGTGTGCTTTCGTTTCTAAAACATGACATATTGGTCAAATTCTCTATATCAGTGCATCCCTAATCTCAAGACCATTTTCCCTTTTCCACTGGGACGGCATTGTATTTCATGAACTGATATGCAAGTAGCAGGTTTGAGCAAGTATATACAGTACATCTGAAAAGCATGAATGACTCTGTGAAATATTTACAGGCTTGACACAGATGCAGAGCTGGTTTGTTCATGCATTAGCTCAGAGAATCTCACATACACCCTCTCTCATGGCCTTAAACTCTACCATCATTCATTTTAGCAAGAACTGAAATGATTTCTGGAATTAAAATGTGCTTTTCTGGGATGGAAGAAAACGGTCACATCACGTACAGGTTACAGATGTTTGAGACGTGGCTGAGATGAGAGCTACAGCGCTCGAGGACGTTTGGGGTTGATCTGCTTACTGGCCTGTTCCTCCTCTTGAAGAGCAGAGCGGAAAGACTTCACTTTATCTGAAACCAAAGGAAACACATATTACTGTCTGTGACGCACGTTCACAAAGCATTTCACCTGACATGAAGGAAAACAGCCTTTGTGAGGAACACAAGAGTCATATGTTCTCACTGTTGTGTAACCTGGGTGTCAATCGCTGACAAAACATAACAAAAAAAGTGAAAGAAGAAACGTGCAGCTCAAAGTCACTATACGATATTTAAAATATTCCTATGAATATTTATTATTAGACCCTTTACATTAGTGCAAAAATATGCAGATAAACAATATAATTTTATTTAAATAAAAATGTAAAAGTGTATATACATATACAATATAAATTGATATGGTTATAAATAATTTGATGAATTAATATAAATCATAAAGAATTTAAATGCTAATATGTTTATAAATATATATATATATATATATATATATATATAGATAGAGAGACAGAGAGAAAGAGAAAACCACCATATATATATATATATATATATATATATGTAACGCATCCAAAATAAAAGTTTGTGTGGTGGGTGCACTGTGTATAATTATTTTATATATATATATATATATAAAAATACACATACATGCTTGTATATATATATTTAAGAAATGTATATACTGTATGTATATTTATATATAATTTATATTATATATAAATACTTTATATATAAATAATATTTTTTCTTAAATATTCATGCATGTGTGTGTTTCTACATATATACAGAATAATTATACACAGTGCACCCACATATATTATGTAAACACACACTTTTATTTTTGGATGCGATTAATCGTTTGCCAGCTCTAATACATATATATATATTATTTTGACATTACTTCATATATGTAATTTTTTTTAATTAAAACAGACAATTTTTAATGTCAGTTTGGTTTTCAATAATGTTTTATAATAAAGATATTTTGGGGGAGAAAATGTTATATTTAAAATTTTATATATACTGTATAATATAAATATATACACACACACACACACACACACACATATTTATTCTGTAGAGAGAGATGGGGAATTAATTTAATTTACATTATAGCAATGAGATTATATTTTAGGAGAAAATGTTAATTCATTTTCATACAAAATTCCAATGCAAAATACGTGTATGCTCCAAAAATGAACTTCATTAATGTATTATTTTGATGTAGTGTACTTTAATTTGTGTAATACGGATCCTCCTATTCCAGTATAGATGCTGGTTTGTAACCACTGACCTCTGAGCTCTGTTAACACGTCAATCTTCTGATCCAGAATTTGTTCGAGCTGAGTGGCGAAGGATTCCACATCATAATCGACTTCCTCCGTCATCTCCAGAAGAACCTTCTCATCCTCGAGCCAGCGTATGGACTCCTGCAACACACAACACCAGCTCCTGAAGCAGCCCTCACAAGCAAATCAGTCCTTGAGGAGAAATATCTCCACAACACCAAAACACATGTGCAGTCAAACACCTTATTCAGACACCAGATATCATTAATTTGACTAGTGGGTGCAGGACACTACAGTTCATTAATGTAAGTAAGGATAGCTAAATAAAGTCAACTATAACATTATACCCAATTTTCTTTAATTGCTAATGCGACCTTTTTACACCACAGCCTGAACAAAATGAAGCATTTCTTGGTAATTGGTTGAGCTAAATTGGTTTTATCTAATTGTGTTGTTAAATTTAACAGCTGAAAGATATTCAATATCGTTTTTTTGTGTCAAACAGAACCAGTGAAATATCAACTGATTTGATAACTCTGAGATCTTGTCATATTTTATTACCATTTTCTAAACTATAGCGATAATGTTAGAAATGTTGAAGGTGTCTGAATAAATTTTGGTTTATATATATATATATATATATATATATATATATATACACTACTGAATTGAAGACATTGAAGACTGTAATAACCCTGAAAACCCTGAGTAATAACCCTGAAAATTCCGCATTGCATCACAGGAATAAATTACATTTTCAAATATATTCAGATAGAAATGTTTTTTTTTTTTACCTACCTGTTATATTAAACTATAATAATATGTCACAATATTTCTGGTTTTTCTGTATTTTAAAATAAATAAATGTAGCTTTGGTGAGCAAAAGATCTGAACGGTACTGTATATTCTCAGATATTTTCTCTGAAACAAGCATTAATTAAGCATTTAGTGCTTTTCTCAAAGGTAAATGCCTTAATTGAAGGAGATTTGGACATTTTAAAGCAGCATTATGTTACTTTTGAAATGTTGCTCGCGGGGTCCCCCTACAGTTGGGAAACAGTATTGCCTTCTACCACTGTCGTAAAATCTGACATGGTTACACTGGGGAATACACGCGTGCATTTGTTGACAAGCGAAACCCCCGAACTCTGCAGAAGGAAGGAGTTCTCACATCTTGGTCGTGAAATGTCTTCATCCCAGGTACATTGGCATACATTTCAGCATGTCATATGAATATAGTTTCATGGACTTTATTTTTTTCAAACGTCAAAAGATTGCGTAGCTCACGTTCACAAGCCAGCGTCTTTATAGTAACGTTAACCTATTGGCTACAAAATGGATATGCTAATTAAATTCAATGTTTGTGTGGTAGATAATAGCCATATCGTCAATATTATAATATCAAGCTACCATAGATGAATCTGCAAATTTAAAAAAAATCGATTTGCATGATAGCCAGAGGCAAGACACTTTCACCAGAAAAATAAATAACAAACATGACCGTCAGCCTGCAGACATGGGATAGTTATCCTGAACGATTATTTTGTCCGTCTAATCATGTTTTATTTACTTGCAAGAATGTAGCCCCAACCAAACTCAGTATTCAGTATACTTTCACGTCTCGAGCTGGCGTGAGCTGCCCGCCACGGCTCTACGGGGATGCTTGAGTGTCTTAAGCGCCCTCAAAAGAAAGCAATGCAGTCTACATTGGATGCGGACACAACACATTACCAACAGTAACTCTGACGCACTTCACATTTGCAAGGCGGGGGAAGATTGATGCACCGGACGGAAAAAAAACACTCGTTGGGCTCTCGTGTCGGAATTTGAGGAAGTGATGTACTGTATGCCGTAAAGCAGTCGAATTTTGTAGTTCTTTTTGTGCTCGGGTTCCTACCCGCACCCCGAAGTTACAGAGTGCCAGTAAAAGCGATACAGACACTGTCAGGCTATATCAGACCTGTCATTCAAACTATTATAAGTCGATGTACCATCTCAAGGGTTATGGAAAAATATTATAAAGGTCGAAAAAGTTACATAGTGCTGCTTTAATGATTTAGGGCTTTTCTCAAAGGTAAATGTCTTAATTGAAGGAGATTTGGACATTTTTGATTAGATTTTTGCAGTGTAAAAACACCCGTCCTGTGTGCGCACCTGAAACACGGCGCGGTGGTCCTCCAGAACCTGCTCCTCCATCTCCACCAGCTGAGACACCACCTCGTGGAAGGTGAAGAGCTGAGGGGACACTTCCTCTTCCTGTGCACAGCACGCATCACATCAACACACGTCACGCTCTCATACACACCGACCGGCCTGAAGTGTGTGGTGAAGCGCTCTTACGTTCTGTTCGCAGAGCAGCTTGAGGTCGTCTCTCTGAGGAGAGCTGCCCACCCCCCACTGCGCCTCCAGCACGTCCAGCTGGCCGACGGAGCGGCCCTCCAGCACTGCACTGGGGTCGATGCTCAGCTCCTTCACCCTAGCGTCACAGACACGGCTCAACTCAACACCATCAGCATATCGGCGGTGTCGGCCGGAAACCTCACATCTCCATATTTTGACGTTTTTCGTTTCTCTCATGAATCATTACTATTGGTCAGCCTTTACACCAGTCTGTGGGTTTTGCAAATACTTAACCAACGAAAATATTAGAAAGAGCTTGCGATTAAACCTCATAACTCCACCCGCCTCTATGGTTAATCGAGTGCCGCACACAGTTTGGAGCGTCTCTGCTTGTTTGCAATGCAATGGTAAATAAAGAACTGGTTATTTGAGTAAGTGCAGTGTTTTCTTTACACAAGAAACACTATATGAATATATATATAGAGGCTAATGTTTTATGTATTTAAGGAGTGGAGAAGAGTGTCTTAGTCTAGCATTTGTCAGAGTCATACTGTCTTATATAATCTGTGTGTAGCACTTTATCATTAATAACATGAGATTTTGGCCAAATTATTATATTGAACTTAAAGGGATAGTTCACTTTGAAATTAATTTTTGGTATGTTTTAGCTTACCTCAAGGGCATCCAAGATGTAGGTGTCTTTGTTTCCACAGTAGTTTCAATTTTGATATTTTTAGGTCAAACCGTTCTTGTCTGTCAGTCATATAATGGAGGTCCATGGTCACCACCTCAAAGAGCATGCACAGAGAAGTCCAAATTAAACATGATTTAATGACTCGTAAATGTAAGTACACATTGATGGCCTAGGACACGAAACGAGCGGTTTGTGTGAGAAAACGAACAGTATTTATATCGTTTTTACTTCTTGTAACCACAGCCACGTCCAAGTGATCTGGGCGCCGGAAGCAATCTCTCGCGTGTGTACGTCACTCATTGTTTACACAGAGATTTCGGAAGCGTTACCTTTCACTGTGAAGATCTAAACATATTTAGATATACAGGAAAACACAATGGAAGACGATTTCGATATATGAACAGACAACCAGAATTTTTTCGCAACCATACGAGAGATCACTTGCGCAGACTGAAACGCCCACTTTGTCAGATCGCTTGGATGTGGCTGTGGTTACAAGAGGTAAAAACGAATACTGTTCATTTTCTCACACAAACCGCTCGTTTCATGTCTTAGGCCATCAATGTGTACTTACATTTGCGAGTCATTAAATCATGTTTAATTTGGACTTCTCTGTGCATGCTCCTTGAGGTGGTGACCATAGACCTGCATTATATGACTGACAGACAAGAACGGTTTGACCTAAAAATATCAAAATTGAAACTACTGTGGAAACAAAGACACCTACATCTTGGATGCCCTTGAGGTAAGCTAAAACATACCAAAAATTAATTTCAAAGTGAACTATCCCTTTGAAGCAATTAATTGATTGACTCAGATACAGTTGTTCTGATGACTGAGCTTGATTTTGGCAAAAAGTAAAAAATTTACTGACACATGCACGTGTCTGATCATACATGGAAAAGTAGTGGTTTTGGTAATATGAGGTTTCCGCCTGTCCCGACAGTGACAATATGAAAGCATGAGGTATTCACATCATGATGCAATAAACCAATGGAAATGGTTTATGTTACAGACACATGATCATGCAGCATGATAATGATGGACTCCATCCGCTCTATAAGGCACAAGCAAACACAAACCAATGTTAGTGCAGCTGCAATGAAAAAACATTCAAAACGCAAAATAAAACGCTGAAACATGCCTAAAATGTGGTACAAATGGACTCAAAAAACAAAGGACAAAATAAGAGCCGACCAAAAGGGAAAGACGCACATGTAGACGCTGAACTGAAAGTGAAGCAACCGTTAGAAACACAGGACTCTTATGGACGCTCTGTCTGAAAAAGAGACAGGCTTGAGACTGGAAAAGGGTGAGACCTGCTGGGTGAGGTAGCAAAGTCATCATACTCATAGGTAGGAGAGAGTTCGGAGCGCCCGCCTCCCCCCTGGGAGAAGGGAATGTCGGATGGGCTGATCCCAAACTCCTTCACTCTGAACGACGGGACGACAAACGGCAGTGAGACAGAGAGACGGGAATTACACACACATTCCTGATTCATGACCAGTGGGAAAGAGTTCTCCGTGAAATACACTCTAGCAGTGAACGCCACTGATTGATAGTTTGCTATGTAAATAGATAATGATTAATATAATTGATTCTAAATCATTTTAAAAATTTACAAATTATTGTTTTATATAAATAATCTTAATAACATGAATATAATATAAAAATATATAAATATGTATCATTTATAGAATGTTTAGAATTCATTATATATATATATATATATATATATACACACACACACACACATAGACACGCACATAAATACAATATAGTATGATAAAAATATATAGAATTTTAAAAACATTAATAAATAAATAAAAAAAAACACTACATATTTAATATAATAAAAACAATGTTTCTTTCTGTGAGTCATTATATAATATAAGTATACTATTTTTTCCTACATTACAATTAAACTAAATTATATTTATGAATTCTTATAAAAAACATGTATAGACATAAAGTGACATTGGTTAATAGTTGTCTACCAAACATTAAACACAAAATATGCCATTTAAAAAGATAATGATTAATATATTTGATTATAAATAGTTGTTTCATAAAAAGAATTTGAATATATATAACTTAATGTTAAATGTTATTACACATTCTATTTCTTTAAACCCTTGAATTCCATTTTAATATTCTTGTTAAATATATGCATATAAACAATATAAATTATAAAAATAAAATAGTATATAAATGCATAAATACAATATAATGAATTATATATATTATTTTTGAATTTATTTTATTTTATTTAAATTAACAAAAAATGTTAAAGAAATTGAATATTAATATATGCATTAATACATGTATAATATACTTTTTTTTAATATACATGTATAAAATAAATATCATATTAATTTATATACAATTTATATACAATTCTAAATTTATATACAATTCTTGTATATAAAGACATAAAGGGTCAAATATTTGATTTTTTTTTCCATGAACAGCCCCAGATTTGACTGTCAGGTGACTTCAGCAACACTGATCCAACTGCTGGACACAGTGCAGGGTTGTGTGTGTGTGTGTGTGTGTGTCATTGGGATGCTCTTGCACTGCAGTGGTGTGTCTCACGTACCTGTTGGCGTATCTCAGAGTGTTTAATGTGTTTTCACATGATGCCATTCCAGGAGAGATTGTAGCGATCTATTGCAACCACAAACATTTTTAAATCATTAATACACCAATGACACTACATGTTAAAAATGAAAATATGATTGATATAGAGACAGTGTTCTTACCATACATGTTCTGGAGTTCTCTCCGATGAAGGAATCTCTTAAGACCTGTGTGAGTTTACTGGCTCTAAACGGAGTGTGTGGTTTGTTTCGACCTAAAGCCCTGATGCATTCCTGTCGCACACAAACAGACGTGGACCAAGATACCACCACGACACTGATAAACTTATAATAAAGAAATATGAACCAAAAAATAACACAGTCTACTTTCAAGAACAAATCAAATTTACATAAATATAATCATTTCCTCCTGCTGAAGTTTTATTCAGAAAGGTCACATTACAGAAGTTGTGAATTACATTTAATATTTTTATAAATAAAAAAAATATAGATATCATTATTTTTTTCATATTTGCTACTCTGTGCAGTGTGAAACTTAAAAAATGATATTTTAATATACTTTAAATATTTTTATAAAAATATATTTCTATATTTGGTACTTTGTAAAAAATTGCATTCATCCCATTTCTAATATTTTTAATATATTTGTTACATTTTCATACAAATATTTCTACATTTTTTAGAAATGTACGGCGTGGGACTTAAATTTGATTTTTCTAATATTTCTAATAAATATTTTCATAAAATATTTCTATATTTGTTACTTTGTACATTGCTAAATTATATTCATCATATTTATATTTTCTATCTATTTTTTATATTTTCATCAAAATATTTCTATTTTCGTTACTTTGTACAGTGCTAGACTGAACTAATTATATTTTTCACATTTATATTTTCTATCTATTTTTTATATTTTCATCAAAATATTTCTATATTTGTTACTTTGTACATTGCTAGACTGAAGTAATTATATTTTTCACATTTATATTTTCTATCTATTTTTTATATTTTCATCAAAATATTTCTATATTTGTTACTTTGTACAGTGCTAGACTGAACAAATTATATTCTTCACATTTATATTTTTTATCTATTTTTTATATTTTCATCAAAATATTTCTATATTTGTTACTTTGTACAGTGCTAGACTGAAGAAATTATATTTATCATATTTACATTTTCTATCAATTTTTTATGTTTTCATCAAAATATTTCTATATTTGTTACTTTGTACAGTGCTAGACTGAACAAATTATATTTATCATATTCACATATTCTATCAATTTTTTATATTTTCATCAAAATATTTCTATATTTGTTACTTTGTACAGTGCTAGACTGAACAAATTATATTTTTCACATTTATATTTTTTATCTATTTTTTATATTTTCATCAAAATATTTCTATATTTGTTACTTTGTACAGTGCTAGACTGAACTAATTTTCTCTCTCATCTTTACTTTTGTAAATATATTTTTAAGAACAAAACGAGGTGAAATCAAGTAGTGCTGGACCCCGTGTGTGTCGACTTGAAGCACAAACCTTCAGCGCCAGGAGACTTTTGTTGATCTCTGCGCCCTCGAGACGGGTCTGTCGGTCGGCGCTCGACGTGTCCGCCCCTCGCTCGTTCCCAGCCAGGTCAATGAGAGAGAATTTGCCGTGCATTTTGCCCCTCCTGCGGAGAATAATCTGAAACACGGCGTGACTGCGGGACGAATGAGCGTTAGCCGAGGTCTGTCCGGACGTCCTGAGGAAAACCACATACAAAAATGACTTACAACTGTGTTAACAACACCACTAGTGGAAAGAAGCCATCCGATTTGTCGCACCTGCAGCTGTTGCCCATCTCAATGAGTTTGAGCACGTCCTCGGTGCACTTGACCTCTCGCTCCTGCAGTCCGACCACCTGAACCTGCTGCTTACCGTCTTCAAGAACACGCAGCTTCGCTTTCCTGTTCAGAAGGTCAAACACCTGCACGGCCGGTTCAAATTGACTTAATGCACTCAAAATGAGCTCATTCATTATTCATGAGTAATAGAGAACTTGCCTTCCCGCTGTAGATTTCGAAGAATGTCGCGTACACCTGAAGATCCAACTTCTTGTAATTTGTTTTTTTTAACATTAAAAAAACATCCCGTGCTGAAAGAACAGAAAATATTGATAACTCAATATTGACATTGAATGACATCAGGTCTGACACATACCAGCGAGAGCGTAGATCCCTTTAGAGCAGTCCTGGTTCTTCCCAGAAAAATCTCCTCCCATGGTCTGGAATGAAAGGAAAATCGATTATGACAAATAGCAAATGGAACGATCCCCCGGGAGGATCTTTCCCTGTAATATGATGTCATCTGGTTTCGTGTACGGGCAGAACTTACATGAGTTTTCCCACTGCCCGTCTGACCGTAAGCAAAACAGGTCGCCATTCCCCTCTCAAATATGGTCTCCACCAGCGGCCGGGCGGTAAACCTGAAACACACAAACCAGAGATCTCATTCAATATTAGACCATGATAGAAAATGAATTTTTTTTTTCTAAATAGTCTAAAAATAGTCTAATCTAAATGGGTGAGATTTGATTGAGAACATGGCCACAGGAACTATGGGTAGCTTCAGCACGCCCTGCAGTTTCACTGCACTGGAATGTAAGATGACACGACTTCAAATAAAGTTTTGTTTTTCGACATGTTTATAATTTAAAAAAAGTAAAATCCCTTAAAATCCCTAAAGATTATTTCGATTTTATAGGTTGATATCTATAAAATGTGGTTTGTGACTTTTGGATCAGAGTGCTGTCAAACCCTGCCTGAATCAAAAAATATATATATATATGATGTAACTTTGTAGAGTGCAAAAATGAAATTATTTTTGTTTTAATTAATTTTTTTTTTTAATATATACTGCATGCACTCACCGAAAGGATTATTAGGAACTCAATACTAATACTGTGTTTGACCCCCTTTCGCCTTAATTCTATGTGGCATTAATTCAACGAAGGTGCTGAAAGCATTCTTTAGAAATGTTGGCCCATATTGATAGGATAGCATCTTGCAGTTGATGGAGATTTGTGGGATGCACATCCAGGACACGAAGCTCCCGTTCCACCACATCCCAAAGATGCTCTATTGGGTTGAGATCTGGTGACTGTGGCGGCCATTTTAGTACAGTCAACTCATTGTCATGTTCAAGAAACCAATTTCAAATGATTCAAGCTTTGTGACATGGTGCATTATCCTGCTGGAAGTAGCCATCAGAGGATGGGGACATGGTGGCCATAAAGAGATGGACATGGTCAGAAACAATGCTCAGGTAGGCCGTGGCATTTAAACGATGCCCAATTGGCACTAAGGGGCCTAAAGTCTGCCAAGAAAACATCCCCCACACCATTACACCACCACCACTAGCCTGCACAGTGGTAACAAGACATGATGGATCCATGTTCTCATTCTGTTTACGCCAAACTCTGACTCTACCATCTGAATGTCTCAACAGAAATCGAGACTCATCAGACCAGGCAACATTTTTCCAGTCTTCAACTGTCCAATTTTGATGAGCTCTTGCAAATTGTCGCCTCTTTTTCCTATTTGTAGTGGAGATGAGTGGTACCCGGTGGAGTCTTCTGCTGTTGTAGCCCATCCGCCTCAAGGTTGTGTGTGTTGTGGCTTCACAAATGCTTTGCTGCATCCCTCGGTTGTAACGAGTGGTTATTTCAGTCAAAGTTGCTCTTCTATCAGCTTGAATCAGTCGGCCCATTCTCCTCTGACCTCTAGCATCAACAAGGCATTTTGGCCCACAGGACTGCCGCATACTGGATGTTTTTCCCTTTTCACACCATTCTTTGTAAACCCTAGAAATGGTTGTGTGTGAAAATCCCAGTAACTGAGCAGATTGTGAAATACTCAGACACCAACAACCATGCCACGCTCAAAATTGCTTAAATCACCTTTCTTTCCCATTCTGACATTCAGTTTGGAGTTCAGGAGATTGTCTTGACCAGGACCACACCCCTAAATGCATTGAAGCAACTGCCATGTGATTGGTTGATTAGATAATTGAATTAATGAGAAACTGAACAGTTGTTCCTAATAATCCTTTAGGTGAGTCTACGTACACACATATATTTTAATATTTATATATTTAAACACTTGCATACGTTTTAATATTTTATTTTATTTATACATTTTACTAGATATTTCTAATGTTACATTGTATAATTGCTAGGCTGAACAAATTATATTTTTATATATTTATATATATTTTAACATTTGTTATTTTGTGCAGAGTGAGACTGAATAAAACTAATTCTTCTCTCTCTTGTCTTTGATTTTTGGTTTCTCTCTTTCTCTGTAAACTAATAAATGTTTGACCTGTAAACCATTTCGTTTGTCGAGGTGTCGTCGAAAGCGTAATCGAAGCGAAACGTCTGGTTCTCCAGGTATCTGGTTAAATCCACTTTCTGCTTGGGCTCGTGGACCATGACCACGTCTTTACTGGGGATGGTGATGACGTCCAGATCCTTCATGGTCAGCTCTGAAAGTGGACAGATGATGTGGCGTATCATAAACAGCACTAGACACTCTCAGCATGAACATATGGTGGAATAAAAAGATTTCATCACCACCTTTCTTGTTCAGTGGACGTGTCCGCACACACACGCATATCCTGTGGTCCTCAATCTATACATAATTGAGAAAATGAAGAGTTCAGATGCAAAAGCCTCTAAGTGCCATTTGAAATTTTCTTCTAGAATGATCTTTTTTATCAAGCTTGTATATTTAAGTTCAGTGATTTCACTTAAATGGCAATGATAATTACCTATTAATTGTTATTTAACTGAAATTACTGAACTTAAATATACAAGTTTGATAAAAATCATCATTAAAGAAGAAAATTTCAAATGGCATTTAGAGGCTTTTGCATCTGAACTCTTCAAATATACATAATATTACATATTATAATACCATGCAATACTGTTGCAATCATGTGGAAATGAAATGACATAATAAGTGAGACGAGTGGTAATGATTCACCAGATCGTCAGTGGTCAGCGGTCTGTAGTCCAAACTCGCTCTGAAGTCTCGGATCATGCACATTATTTCATAATTAGGGGTTATGGCCTCGACATCCTGTGTAATAAAAAACTCACAGTTAATATTGTAAGAGTTTTTACTTTCTTGAGATGTTAAGTCATGTCAATAGTCGAGACATTTTTTTTCAGTATGCATATATCGTTATTATATTAATTTCAGTACAAGTTAGTGCACTGTGTATAATTATTTTATATATATATATATATATATATAAATACAAGCATCATGCTTGTATATATTTAAGAAATATTTTCATGTATATACTGTATAGATTTATATATAATTTATATTATATATAAATATAAATATTTTATATATAAATAATATTTTTTTCTTAAATATACATGCATGTGTGTGTATTTATATATATACAAAATAATTATACACAGTGCACCCACATATATTATGTAAACACAAACGTCTTTTTTGGATGTGATTAATCGCGATTAATCGTTTGACAGCACTAATATATATATATATATATATATATGAAGAGTTCAGATGCAAAAGCCTCTAAATGCCATTTGAAATTTTCTTCTTGAATGATGATTTTTATCAAACTTGTATATTTAAGTTCAGTAATTTCACTTAAATAACAATTAATAGGTAATTATCATTGCCATTTAAGTGAAATCACTGAACTTATATATACAAGCTTGATAAAAATTATCATTCTAGAAGAAAATTTCAAATGGCACTTAGAGGCTTTTGCATCTGAACTCTTCATATTGGTTTTAAGTCTTAATTAACTATAATAAAGCAATATAAAAAAGCAACATAAGCAATTTGTAAAGCTAGCAATATTCATAGAACAAAAAAAATATTTTATATATTTTAACATGCAATAAGCAAGATAACACAATATATTTCTAAACATATAACAATACAATGTTATCATAATATTCATTAGACAATAAAACATACCACAAGATTTAAATAAATATAACGTTCCCCATTTTTCAAACCTTGTCAGTACACAGAAACAGTACGCCAGTGTTTTATCACCTGTGCTCTTTTCTCTCTCAGCTCCTGCTGCTGCAATCGTCTCCTCTCCCGCTTCTCCTGAAGCTTCTCCACTTCCTTCACACAGTTGGACTTCCTGCGAGCTGAACACACACAGAAACCTCAATGCAAACAGACATCAATGTTTAACAAATCAGCTAAACCTGATTCGCTCGTGTTAATAAGCATTTTATTTGACATAATTCAGTGTGAATTAGTTTGTGTTAAAAGTGTTTGAGTGAATCCCTCAACAATGGCATCATGAGGGGTCATCTCTGAAACAACAACTCTAAATGCGGCTTTTGTTTTGGTGTGACGGCAGACAACAGCCGTTTGTGACGACGCTGAGAGCCCTTCAGCTTCTCCATCACTGCTGGAGTCTCTTCATACACTCACAGATCAGAGATTACACACCCATAAAACAATTATTCATAAAACATCTCAACAATAATTACACTACTGTTTAAATGTTTGGGGTCGGTGTTTTTGGAAATAAGTCTCTTCTGCTCACTAAGGCTGCATTTGATCAAAAACAGGAAAAAATAATTGCTTTCTCTTTGAATTTTTTTGGATTGTTTTTTTAATGTAATTTCAATCATGACAACTCTCTGAATAGTTTTAGCATGTTATTGACTATGGCAGTGTTCATGTATTTGGTCTTGGTGGACTAGATCTGCTACGCTGCTGCTGTTGATTATTGCTGCTACAGAGCAAGTATGGACTTACTTCTGCTAATAGATACACAGACACACTGTGGTGAGCATGTAAGATATGATATATATATATATATAAATCCCACAGCAGATCTAGGCAGGTGGAGATGGGGGAGGTGAGGGCCAGCTTACTACAACAAACAATGAACCAGACTATCTCATTGGCTGGCAGATCAGCGGAGGCCAATCAGTGAGTTTCATGACTGAACTAGATATTTATTCCTGTGAATGACATGATCACATGATCCTTCAGAAATCACTCTAATATGATGATTTCCTGCTCAAGAAACATTTCTGTTGAAAACAGTTGTGCTACTTAATATTTTTGATGGATTAAATGCGTTCTTGCTGAATAAGTGTTGATTTCTGTGTGGTACCGTTCTGCTGCTGCTGTAGGGTTTGGTGCTGTATCGGCGGAGGCGGAGCGGGCGCTGGTGGAGGAGGTTCGATCTGTTGGCTCGGCCGTGCTCGAGTCGTACCTACGGAGACTGAAT